TGTGGTCGCACTGGCAGTCTTGTCGGTCCCTGGGGGCCGTCGAGGAGTGCCAGAAAGCAAAATTCCATCCTTCTTGCGCAGGTAGTTCCCCAGCTAGTCACTTCCTTGACGACGTCGCACCCTCTCTGGAAGCAAGCTTCGGGATGCTCTTGTGCACCCATTTGCAGGTCGTGTCGCCTTTGCTCACGTAACTCCCGCAGGTCCAGCGAGTTGCCGAGCCGCTGTAGCCCCGGCGTCGCTGGTCGTGCATCCTGGTCCTGGTCTTGCATCAACCACCGCTGCCCATTTCCGCTGAGTGCTTGGGTGTGGTAGCTTGACGTGCTTTCGCAGAAAGCTGTATGCCTTTGCCGAGTAAAAATGGAGCGTGAGGGAAAACTTGCGCACATCCTCTGTAGATGCGTTTTTGTTGCGCCTGACTGTTTTTAAGACGAGGTTGCGCATTGTGTTGGTGAATGCACTGTCAAGTATGTCAACTGCTGGCTTAGGAAGTCGTGTCCTCAGTTCACGGAGCAGCGTGTTCAGCTTCCTAATCCTGGCCGTCTTCCGATTGATCTTCTTCTTTGCCTGTTTCAACAGTTTCCTCGCCTTCTGCAGCTTTTGCCTACTCGTGGCCAGGACCCTGTGCAGTCGTGGTGACACAGCTGCGTACGAGTGGTCACCGAAGGAAGTGTTGCGTCGCTTGAACACAGCTTCAGGGGGAGTCTCTGACGTCGTAGCCTGAGAGGGGGAAGTAACCAGCTTTACATTGCTTCCAGAACCAGCAGCAGCTTGGGCCTCTCCTTGGGTTGGCTGATCAGTCGTCGATCCAGGCTGCCTCTCTGGAGGGTGAGACCTGTCAGCAGAACAACGAGCGGTGACATTCAAGACTGCCTGTATTCCACAAGACTGTGTGCCAGGGCATGCATTCTTGGCAGGTTATACTGTGCAGTGTGATATGTGACCAGACCTTTTATGCGTTGGCCAGAACTGGCACTGACCCACAAAAAGGGGGTGCTGGGAGTTCTGGCTTATGAATAGGGTTCCATGTTTTGGGTGTTTTTTTAATTTGTGAGTATTACCTGGCTCAGTGAGCAAAAGAAGAGCCGTGATCAAAGGGTGCAGCCAAAAGCTGTAACCAAAAGTTGTGTCCAAATGCCATGACCAATGCGACGCAATCTAAGGAAAAAGAAAATAACAGAAATACAAACAGTTGTGCTCACGTTATCATGAGAAAGAAGAAGCCACCGATGTGATCGGACGTGTTTTCTCAAGCTCTCGACTTTTTCGAAAATGTTCGGCGCTAAGCCCAGCCCCGAGCTGCCAAGTTCGGGCCCTCCTTTTGGATCTTCGGGGGATTGTCCCTCGGTAAAACCGGAAGATGCGGCCAGGACTTCGAGCAACGCATCGACCAGCCACGGTCAACCAGAGGCCATGGACACGAGGAATGCGAGTAACGCCGGTCCCGCCACTACCACGACGGGAGCAGGACCTGCTCCAGCCTCGATACTAAACAAATCGACGATGGGGTGCTCAACAGTCTTCCAATTTGGTGAGCCCTCCACAGTCCCAAGCACAGCCCAATCTGTCGAGCTAGTCTTAAGGGCTCTCCTTTCGAGCATATCGAAAGAGAGCCTTATCGATGTTTTCAAAAGTGTCATTGGAGAATCTCACGAAATCGTGCCAACTACCAAGGGGAAGAAGAAGAACAAGTCTGCGACTTCTAAGAATGCCTTGAAAAGCAGCACAACAACAATTCTGCCAGCGCCAGCCGGCGCTGCACCTATATCTGGCAAGACGCCACAACCAGCAGGGAGCCAGGGCGACAGCTCAGTGCCTGCTAAGACACTACCGGCACCAAAGCCTGCGGCCGCCGCGCCACCTACTACAGAACAAACGGAAGAAGAGGACGGCTTCACCACCGTCACGAGCAGGAAGAAAAGGAAACGGGCTCGCGAGGACCCGACACAACAAAATAATGAGAAGGCCAAGCCCTCCCGGCGTTGGCAATTCGAGTACAATTTCCGCCTAACACGATCCCAAGTCTCGATAAAGCCACTACTACCAAGACTGAAAACGCACCTCTCGAGCGTTTCAACAGCATTCACAATGCATCTACTAGACAAGGCCAACACTATTTCAGTCCGCACGGTCTCGAAACAGCTGGCCGAAACCCTCGAGAAGATAACCGAGGTCGACATTGGCGGACAAGCAGTTTCTGTACAAGTCTTTAGAACGTACGGAACCGCCTATTGCAAAGGGGTCATCTACGACATTTACTCAAAAGAAGAGGATCCCCAAGACAACGTCTTGAACCTTGAATTGGAATCTGAGAAGATCCAGGTGGTCGCTGCTCGTAGACTGGGAAAGTCTAACACGGCAATGCTCACATTTGATGGAGAAAAGACGCCGAGGTCCGTTTTGTACGGCAATAGATATATGCGGGTCTTCCCGTTCAAGCCGAAAGCGGTGACGTGCGGTAACTGCCACCGATTGGGACACAAACCGGACATCTGCCCAAATGCTGCCGTGTGCCCCATCTGCGGAACTCAACATTTAGCCTCTACGGATCCTGCCCAGAAACCCGGATGCCCCGACTCCACACCCTACTGCCAAGGGTGCAGAAAGAAGGGCCACCTGGGAACGGACCGCAAATGCCCCACATGGCAAGAGACCAACAAGCGAATGCGGGAAGACGTAAAAAAATTCCGAGAACAACATAAGCAACAACAACAGCAGCAGCAGGAGCAGACTGCGACCGGGGCTGTCAAGACCCCGGTCCCTCCCAGCGGCACTTCGTGGGCTGACAGAGTCAAACACGGCATCGTCGCTCCACCACCATCACCGTCGTCACAGGCGGAGATCCAAGAACTACGCAACACCTGCAACTACTTCAAAGCCGAGCTAGACAGGCTCAAGGCCATTGTCCAAGCCCAGCAAGAAGAGAACAACCACCACAAGTCCACCCTCAGTCAGATGAGGGCACTTATAGCGAATATTTTTTAACGCTGATGATAAGGGTGCTCCAATGGAACTGCCAGGCGCTCCACAAGCGGGCGGCCGAGCTCCGAGTACGTCTGTTGGGCAAGCCTGACGAGCGTCCTGATGTATTACTGCTTCAGGAGACTAATACTACAAGCATCAACTTCAATGGTTACACTACCTACTCAAGCCCGTCCATAACTAGTAAACGGCCGGGGCAATCTGCCTCCCCGCCAGGGAAAGCGCTCGTCTATGTAAGGTGCGACTGGCCCCAGCACCAAGTAGATCTAACCCCCTATTGTAATGAAAATCAAGAAATCGTTGCAGTGAGAGCCACGGTCCGGCAGCAAAACATCGTATTTACATCCGCATACTACAGGCCTCTTAAAAGCAAGACATCAAAAAGAAACCACGGTTGGATCGCTCATCTGCACAATCTGTACCCAAGAGAACAAAAGCTCTATTGTGGAGACTTCAACCTCCAACATCATGCTTGGGGATACAACCACATATCGACAGGAGCGGAAGAGCTGCTTGGTGAGATGCAGATCTTCAGACTCAACCTAGTCAATAACCACGGGACCAAGACAAGGCTGGGAGACGCCAGGCAGAAGGACACAACCCCAGACCTTACATGGACCTCAAACATATACACATATCACCACAAGTGGAAGTGCCTTCCGGACTCTTGGGGCAGCGACCACTTCCCAATCTTCTTTGAATTCTCGCCTACAAAGAAGATCAAAGACAAATCCAAGCGGAGAGTGGCTAAAACCATTTACTGGGACAAGTTCAGGGCAACGCTGGAAGAAGGTAACCTTGAAGGGTCCAGTTTCGAGAGCCTCCTAAACAGCGCCCTGCAAGGAGCTACGATTACTACGAACGTCGATGAAGACGCTCCAAATCCCGACCTCCACCTATTACGGCTCTGGGCTAAACGGCTGCAGGTGGTACAAAAGTACCGAAAGGGTCGCAAAACTCCGCAAGGCAGACACGCCATAACAAGAGCTACGGTAGAGGCCAAGGAATACGCCCAACAATTAGATACACGCCGATGGCTAGACTACAGCTCTTCGCTCTCCGACAAAACCTCGATTACAAAGCTATGGGCTACAAATCGGGCTCTGCTTGGAAAGAAGAAGGTAAAAGGAGCGACGCTCACGCTCGCTCTCAAGATGAATAAGACGGAAGAACAGCTCGCAGGAATGGCGGGGGATCTCTTTTTCCCACAGCCAGACGTGAACGACTGCCCCTCTCTGTACGACGTAGAAATCTTGGCCCCGGACGACGGCATGGACCGACCGTTTACGAGGGGAGAACTCGAGTGGGCGCTACACAAAGGAAAATCCCGATCGTCGCCCGGGCCGGATAAAATCACCATGACCATGCTTAAGAACCTTCCAGAAAACACAAAAGAACAGCTCCTCGAATGGGTGAACCACATCTGGGTCACCGGAAAGCTCCCTGAGCAGTGGAAGCATTCACTTGTCGTTCCCATTCCAAAACCCGGAAAAGACAAGGGATCACTCAGTAACTACAGACCCATCTCGCTAACTTCATGTACCTGTAAGGTCATGGAGCGGATGGTATTAGCACGAATTGACTGGCACCTAGAATCCTCTGGCACCTTCCATCCCTCCCAGACTGGTTTCCGATCCTGCCTCGGAACACAGGAAAGCCTCGCCCTCATCTCGGCAGAAGTCATAAGAAATATTGGACTCAACCGCGCGGCGATAAGAACAGTCGTGGCGGTTGACATCAAAAAAGCGTTCGACTCTGTACCCCACACCTCCATCATCAGCGAAGCCAGACAATTTGGCATAGTTGGACGGCCGCTGAACTTCATCAAGAGCTTTCTAGAAGGAAGGACGTTTTCGGTCCGCTGCGGCACGCACGACAGTGAACCGAAGATGAACCGAGTTGGGGTCCCTCAGGGTTCCGTCCTCTCACCAACACTATTTAACCTCGCAATGGCAGCCCTGCCGCATGAGCTCGCCAAAATACCTGGACTTGGTTTTACCGTGTATGCGGATGACATCACAATGTGGACGAAAGGAGAAGACATTGCAAAGCAGCTAGACATACTTCAAGCAGGCCTCGACACAGTCGACGCTCACCTAGCCAGGGTAGGAATGCAAGCCTCTGCAGAAAAGACCCACTACACCGTGGTGGCACCAAGAAAACACAGAAATGCCAAGATTGCAGAACGATTTAATCTCGTACTCGCGGGTAAAAGAATCAAACCCTCCCCTTCAGTCAGGATCCTAGGGATTACGATCGAAGAAACGGGCAAGGGAGACATCTGGTTACAAGACACAATCAAGTACTGCAACTCCGCGCTCAACGCAATCAGGCGTATATGCAGCGCAAGAGGAGGCGCGACTGAAAACGTAGCCAAACGGATGGTCAAAGCCCTCGTAGTCTCGCGCGTAGTCTACGGAGCCCGCCACTACTGGCTCAACAAGGGACAGTGGCAGAAACTAGAAACCTTAAACAATCAAGCAATGCGTGTAATTACCGGCCTTCCTAAGTTTACCCCCCTCGGCAAACTGCGGGAACAAGCCGGTATCAACAAACTCCATGACATTGTGACGGCCCGCACGGTTGCCCACAGTGAGCGCCTCAAGCTTACTGGACCAGGCAGAGAGATTATGAAGCTTCTCCACAGACCCACGGAGAACCTTCCAGAACTACCCGAGCAACTTCCACCATGGGAAGACCTCGCGGAGATCACCGACAACAAGCCTAGTGCACGCAAGGGGGACACCAAGCAGCTAACACGTAAAGCCAAGGCGCACACTAAGATGGTAGAAGCATGGGATCCGAGTTGCATCATGGCTGCCTACACGGATACCGCATCGCTAGACGGCCCCGTCACCCTGAAGACGGCAGCTGCAGCCATCCCTGCCCTACAAATCAGCGCTACCAAGCAGCTTCCCGAAGGCGCCTCGACCAAAGGAGGAGAACTCACAGCAATCCGCCTCGCCCTCGAGACGGTCCTCGCACTCCCCGACCCGCTAACAACGAATCTCCGGATATTTACAGATTCGCAAGAGGCGGTGAAGGAATGTAGAATAAGGAACAGTCCAAGCCGGATAGTCCGCTCGATAAAAAAACTTGCTTCTCAACTAGCTTCAAGAGGCACCTCCACAAGAATTGCATGGGTTCCCGGTCACGCGGGCATACCCGGCAACGAACAGGTACATCGCCTGGCCCGCGCGTCGCTTATTCTTCCCCGCGGTTCAGACGACATACCTGCATCACAACATGACCACGGCTACGGCCACGCTCGCGATCGGGCACAGGCCAACTGGGAACCACAAGAATATGATCCAGGCGAGGTTCGGGCCAAGATCAGAGAAGTCTATCTAGCAAAACTCGAAGAGAAGCTCCCCGAAAACCCAGATCCGCTCCCTTGCACGGGTTTTGGAAGACGGGCGAAAGTTCTCCTGACTCGAGTGAGGACGGACACCGCACTAACACCAGCGCGCATCGCATCTTGGAGTCAAGGAAAACGATCCGGAACTTGCTCCAAGTGCAATATGGGCGTGAAGGCAGACATTTTTCACTTGGTGTGGGAGTGTCCAGAGTACAAAGACATAAGGGCAAGACATCGACCAACAAACATCGCATCTATGGAGGGGTGGACACATCCACCAGGCTCCGAGAGTGACAGACGAAGAGTCTTGAAAGGTCTCCTGGATTTTATCTATGAGGCCAAGCTGGACATATTCATTTAGATTCAGTTACCTTTCCTTAGTGCCAGCGTCCAGATCTTGATATCACCGGCGCACTCCCTCATACCCCCTTCCCTCTTTTCTTACTTTTTTTTTTTTTACTTCTTTTCTTTTATGGCATTAAACGTTTTCTGACTGACTGACACGTTATCATTTTCGTCATGTGACTTAATTATTAATCACGTGATCGAACAAAAAATAAACCTAGAAATAAATTATCCCCTGCCCGGTTTCGAACCTAGGCTCTCATGATCGCAAAACTAGTGTGCTATTCATTGGGTCAACCTTGCTCATTGACGTCAATATAACTCGGCCAAAGGTAATGCTCACGCATTCTCACATCATGAAAGAAAGCTGAGGTGCTCTCGTAATTTCATTTTTTTAAAAATGGGGTGTAGTGTGCCATCAACTAGCTAGATGGCGCAAGAAGTCATGGTTTGTGTCGTTACTACGAGATGGTGCACGTGCTTGACAGCGGCGCGCGCTGTCTCGGGATTGATGTGTACATATTGAAAATAGAACAGTCTTCACAAAAACTCCGAGCTGGTGTGACGTCTCTTCCTTTCGTCGGGGTTCCCGCCTTGGGCCCCGCACCTCGGCACCCCGCTGCCCACGCGCCGGCAATGTAAGCCTTTCCAGCATCTCTACAGGCCTTTCGGGGCGCTGTCTTTATCTGAGCTTTCCCTGTCTCTTTCCACCCATTCGTAATGGCCCCAAGCGACCACAACATCTTAGCGACGAGCTATAACCACTACATTTTGGCGACGAGGTATTTTCTTGCATTTTTTCCATTTTCGCCCTCGTGAGTTTTTTTATGTGAGACTCCGTGCCGGAGATGAGTGGTGGCAGCACCGGCACGTATAGTTTTCTTTTGTGTGTTAGGAAATATTTGAACGTTCGAAATGTAAGGAGGTCCTTTTGAATATTCCCATCCACCACATCTTTTGCATATGTAGTACATGAAAATACTGTCGATGCATAGCGACATTTAACGTTCCGTTTCGAGCGGCAATGGTCCATTCCGAACGCCAGTAGGGTTAGGCGTAACGCCATCCTTTGTTCTTTGTTTTCGAACGCCGTAACGGCCGTTCGAATGGTTCTTTTTCTTTCATGTAAGTAGTGCGCACCGCACGGAAGCGTCGTTCTTAATTTTCCGAGACTCGGAGAAACTGTCTCGTTTCCATTTCGGTGGAATTTTTTCGGATTTTCACCTTCGTTTTCAACTTTTGTCTCCCAACCATAGCCATAGTAGACGATAGCGTCGCTATGTTTCATGTCCATGTAGTACATCCCAAGTGACTTTAAAAGGCGAAGTGAATAGATATAATAGATATTTTGTCCATCAAATATGCGTATGTAGCCATTGGCTTCACTCATTCATAAGTTCCAAAAAATGGCAACAGCTTCTTTCCCGACACCTCCACCATTTCTTCCCACGCCAGGTGCCCCTGTGCAGCCTTGGTTAAATTGGAAAGCGTCGTTTTTAAATTATCTTGTAGTCCTAGAGGCTGATGAAAGCTTGCCGAAGCGTAAGCGCGCGTTGTTGTGGTCCTTGCTTGGTCTCGAAGGCCAAAGAATAGTTTCAACGTTTCCATCCACGGCCCTCGCACATAGCGAGACCGTTTCCGAATTTGACGTTCTTATGACGTCGCTTGATCAGCATTTCGCTGCCAAAAAGAATGTTGTTGTCGAACGGAGGTTATTCCTCACCCGCGTCCAGTCGCAGGGAGAAAGTGTCCTTGAGTACCTTGGTGCCCTACGGCACCTCGGCTCTTTTTGTGATTTTGGGGAGTCTCTTGAAACCCGCATCGCGGAAGTTTTTTTGGCTGAATTATTATCATCGGAGGTACAAGATCGGGTAATCCGAGAGTCTGCGGAAGCTGGACTACCCAGCCTCGAACGTATCGTGCTTCTGGCACAACAGTTCGAACGGGCTGCTCGAGATTGCGATCGTTACCGCCAAATTTCATCATGTCTTCCGCGTTCCGAGTCGACACAGGCCGTTGAGGCAGTACAAAGGGTTCCCGTTCGCCGTGGACAAGATGGCCGCCAGTTGAGGTCAAATTCGAACATGCAACGTCAAAATGGAGGGCGGCCTCCTGCCGTTTCCTCCTCCCCCGCAAATGTTTCCTCCTCACCTTCCAAGGTTTCCTTCTCGCCGCGCCACCAGTCGCGTGGACTCACCCGTGTTTTTACAAGCCGAGTGCCTCGGGATGCTCCTCCGGGCGCGCGCGCTCTTGGGCGCGGGGCGGAATCGTGCCACTTTTGCGGTCGCCGACCCCATCCGCGTGAGGAGTGTCCAGCGTCCGGAATGACTTGTTTTTCTTGTGGCAAGATAGGCCACTTTTCAAATGTTTGCCGAAGTTCGTCTTCGTCGTCTGAAGTCATCGACCCCCGTCGCCTGGCGTTTCCGCCGGGACGAGGCCGCGCCGCTTGGCCGGGCAAAGAGATGTTTAAGGATTGTGTCCGCAGGGGGGAGACTGCTCATACGAGCGATGTTGCGCAGCGCTGTGTCTTCAAGTCTCAAAGACAGCGGCCATTCTTCCGCTGCAACAATTGTGGCCACGTTCTCTGCTGAAGGAGGCAGTCCCAAGCAGCTTCGTAGTGCGGACCGGTGAAAAGTATCGATGTCTCGAATTTGTGCCCTTGCAACAGCCAGTAGCGGCAGTGAATAGAGAAGCCTGGACATGATGAGCCCCTTGTACATTTGAAGTAGTGCACGTTGTGATGCACCCCAGGAGGAGCCTCCAAGCTGTCTAACGACACGTAGCAGTTGACGGCAACGTTGAAGTCTCTTGCGTACTTCAGGTCTCCATGTCACCCGATCGTCGATAATAACGCCGAGATACGTGTGGATTTTCACCCTTTTAACTGGCGTTCCAGCAAGTTTTAGACGTAGGGCATTCTGTGGTGCTCGGCCTGTGGGTCGGTAGAGGAGTGAGGCAGTCTTTTCCGCAGATAGAGTAAGGCCTAGTTGCGCTATGGCCAGTGCAGTAGAGTCCAGTGCCACCTGGAGTCGATTACGGATCCCTATAGCGTTCCTTGAGGGTCCGACACACCACAACGCCACATCATCCGCGTAGATTGCCATGCCAATCCGAAGAGCTCGATTCTTTGCTGGAAGACATCGAGGGAGGACGCTCATGGCAAGATTGAAAAGCAGAGGGCTCAATACACTTCCTTGGGGTACCCCTTGAGCAATATGTCTAGATGTGCTAGTAGCATCTGGCAATTTCACGCTCATGGACCGTCCACAAAGAAAGGCCTCAATGAAAGATAAGAGTCTGCCACAAACCCCAAAATGCTTTAGTCGGTGAATGATGGTTGGATGTGGCAATGTATCAAATGCACGACTGATGTCGAGGAACACGCAGTGTACCATTTGCCCCGTAGCCTTGGCTTCTTCTAGGGTTGAGGCAAGGTCTCCTATTGCATCCGCAGTGCACCTCTTGGCTCTAAAGCCAGCAAGTTCGTGCGAGAAGGCACCCACTCTATCCAAAAGCCAGGTTAGACGTTGAAGAACCATTCGCTCAAGAACTTTTCCCAAGCAACTTATCAAGGAAATCGGCCTGAAGGATGAGGATTTTTCTATCGGCTTCCCTTGTTTGAGTATGGGAATTACTATCGATTGTTTCCATGCATCTGGAAATGCTCCTGTCCTCCATATGTCGTTGAGTTTTTCAAGTATGCCTGGGTGGTGTATAGGGTCCACGTTCCTGAGCGACTGGTAGGTTATGCCATCGGGACCCGGAGCGCTTTTCTTTCGACAGTGATGGAGTGCTTGAGTGAGCTCCTTTAGGGTGAAGTCTGAGTAAGTTGCCAACGATGTCTCTTTGTCTTGAGGTTGACTAACCTGGCTTTGCGGTGGATTTGTCAATCTTTCTTGGTATTGATGTGGTGGAATAGAGGAGCGGGAAAATTGATCCGCTAACAGCTCTGCCACTTCCGTCATGGACATACCAGATTTGATTGAAAACCCTGCAATAGGGTGTCGTGGAACCTTCGCGCCGGAGAGGGCTCGAGCGATCTTCCAAGCACGCTTGCCTCCACCTGGACCACCAAGAGATGCGCAGTCCTGGCTCCATTGCCACCGCTGAAGTGCCTTGGTGTGTCGCCTGAATTTAGCGTCAATTCGGTTGTAGCGAGTCCAGTCCCATGAGGCGTTGGTGTGAAGCGCCCTTCGTTGTGCCTGCCGTCGGGCTGCTCGTAGGTTGAGCCACTCAAGGTCAGGAGAGGGGCTTGTAACTGGAACTGTGACGGATCGCGTCGAAAGCCGCAGGCACTCCGCAATGCATGTAGTAAGGTCATCATAGTTGCTGCCTACAATAGCAGAAGAGAGGTACTGGCGGAATAGGTCCCAGTTAGTAACTTTGCAGACCTTGAGGTTCCTTGGAGGTGCTTTGGGGTGTGTTAACCTGATGGGAACATGATCACTTCCTCCAGTGTCCGGTTGGGCTGTCCACAAGGCGACAACTTGTGAAGATACCCACGTTATGTCTATTGTGCTGGCGTTAGTTCCACGTCTACAAAATGTTTTCGACCCGTCATTAAGAGCTCGCAGTTGTAGGGCTGCCGCAATATCTTCGAGCTGTCGTCCCCTGGCGTCCGTTCGGTTACCGCCCCAGGATTCATTGTGTGCGTTGAAATCTCCACATATAATAAGCTGTCCTCGGCTACGTTTGTGAATTTCTTCTAGCACCTTTGCGTCCCATACGCCATGCGGGGAAATATATGCAGATATAACCGTTGTGACGTGCCGGCCAATTGCGATTATCGCCCCGGCGTATTCTGCAATTTCTGAAGACAAGTCCGAAAGATCAAGGGGGGCATGGTGTACATCGTCACGGACCAATATTGCAACTCGCGATCTTCCATCGGTACTTAGAGTTGCACTGTGATGAAAGACATAGGGAGACAGACGGACCTCTCCTGGGATCACGTGCGTTTCTTGTAGAGCCAGTACATCTCTTCGTTCAGTTGCAAGAGTTTGGCGGAGAACGGGC